ACTGCTTATAAATACAATGATAGGGGAGGGGTGGAAATAACATGTAATCAAATAAATTATACTACGTGTAAACTAAATATGTAAATAATAAATAAAAACATAACCGTTCCGATACCTGTGATCACCCTCTGTATAGCAAACAACATGTTTCACTTTAGCAATATAGACTTCCGTTCAATAACAAATAGTGACCACACTGTGCTAACTCTCCAAATAGCACGAAGTACCATACTTAAGGACCATCAGATGGGTACAAGCATATCAAAACTACCTAGAGAAAAGATAATCAATATCAACAAAATGACAGACTCCCAATGGAAAAAGTATACACAAAAAGTTGATCAAAAACTTTAGCAAAGCAACATTTCACAACAGATTCAGACTATGAACTTGAATCAAATCAACGACAACAGACAAAATCAACTAATCCAAGAATCCTGGGAGCTGTTCGAAAAAGTCCTTATATCCACAGCTTTCAATCAGTTATATTGTAAGAAGAGAATAGCAAGAGGAAGAATCAAGCCTCAAAACAAAAAGAAAAATCGTAGAGAACAGTTAGCCTTCTACAGCTACTGTTTGATGAACAAGATACTCAACACCTGGACCAAACTAAAAGACCCTGGGAAGGGACCAGAGCTAAAACAAAAGCTATGGAAGGAACTTAAGAAAATCAATCAGAGCATTGCACCGATAGCACCAGTCCTTGAATCTATACATAAGCTCATAACAATATTAGAGGAAGAAGAAAAAGAACACATGTTGATATCCCAGCTTAGAGAAACAGCTACCTCCCTAAAAAAGATTTGCCTCAGCGAAGAAAGAAACCGAATAAACTCTGAAATCAATGAAGCAATCCGAGAAAGATGTAAAAATCTCAAAGAAAATCAGAGAAAAGTAGTACAAGGATTGATAAATAACTTTAGAGACAAGATAGTCATAGATAGGATATGGGTTCAAGATGATCAAGGAAGAGAGTATATGTCAATAGACAAAGAGGAAATCCTGCGTCAAACAGAGGCATATTACAGAGGTGCTTTTAAGAAGCGAAACAACAATTTTGAGCTGTTGGATGACAAATGGAAAGACCAGTATGTCCCTAAAGCTGAAATAAAGGAAGAATGGTACAAGAATACAAAGAATACCATTAGTGAAACTAAACTGGAAGATGTTCTCATAGATCTTCCAAAGGACAAAGCAGCAGGACCCAACAAGATCAAATATGAAATACTTAAAACCTAGGAGTATTTGGAAGAAAAACTTTATGCCAACTCATGAACATATACTTAGCCCACAATATAATTCCCTCAACATGAAAGGAAAGTCTTCTTTATCCAATATCAAAGGGCAAAGAATAGCAGGGCATCCTAAGTAATACTAGACCAATAATACTTTTAGATATCTCCCAATAAAGATGGGTCCCTAAATTATTTGTGAGGACATAATTCAAATGTTCCTTATTATTAAAAATTTTTATTTTTATATTAAGGAATAAAAAAAAACTATCTACAAAGGTTCTTTATAGTTTTAAGCATCTATACAAATCATTTCTGGACTTATGTCCCTATTGAAGTAAAGAGCTAGGAATTATATCTTCTAGGGGACGTGGACATAAAGAGACGTAAATTTTATATGTTAAATACTTTAGGAACCCATTTTTACCTGAAATTATACTTAAACAAAATTACTGGATTTCTTGCTTGTTTCAATAAAATCTTCTCAACCATCTTCAATTTGATGTACAATGTTATGCCAATTCATTGTTTACAAAAATTCAATAAATTTTAAAAATCAAAATTAATTTTACCTCTATAAATAATTAATACTTAATTAATAACCAATCAAATATCAATATTTCAATACAATAACAATCAAATTGGTTCAAGCCTATTTGTAACAACAATAATAACAATTCTATATTATAACATCCTAATGGTTTTTTTAATTAATATAATAACAACTCCAACATTATATTAATATAAAAAAACTAAACTTTTTATATGTTTTACTCAGTCTTTAATTAGTTGCAATATGGTTTTACAGATTTAGACAACAATATCAAAATCCAATCAACAATTTCTTAATTAAAAAAAGCTGTTTTTATAATTTTATAAATCCAGACAACATATTTAAAATTCAATTATAATAAATTTTATTATTTTCTATATTAACATAGCTGTTTATAAATGAGTATTAGCTATTCTAAACTATATACTGTATATAATAGAAATAGATTGATTATTGATACAATTTGATGTAATTATTTGATACAATTAATTGAGTCACTATTAAAATATATAAAATAATTAAGTTAAATATAATTATTTTTAAAAATTTTAACAATTAAATTAATAATAAAATAATTTATATCACATATATATTTTAAACCACTATTGGTATGGACACAGCTTCTTGATATAAATTAATATCAATAGTAATTCTGCAATAAGCTATGATTAATTTATACTTTGATATATGAGATTATTAATATAATAGTAGCAAATATAATATTTAATAAACTCTACATTTAATGTTTATTTGCAATAAAAAAAAAAGATATATTTGAAAAAAGACTAATAATAATAAAAATAATATACTTTTTAATTAGAAATTTTTAAACATACAGTAAGTTCAAATAATATTTTTTTTATAAAGTATTTTTAAATAAAAAATTTTATAGTTTGTTATAACATATTTAAATAAGTATATCAAGAACCTTAATTGTACAAATAATACAAATAATGCAGTATATATCACGTGGAAAATAAAAAAAGATGATATTCAATGACTTTGCATTCAATACATTGTTCTTGTTGCATGGATATCTGTTTTTTTTTTTGATTTACCTATTGTATGAATATCGATATACAATACTTTATCTTTTAGCGTACTTACGTCACATGATAAGATCAAAGAATATTGTGTAAACGAATGAGGCACCATTTGTGTGACATAAGAAATTAAACACCTCATGGATCCGTTCTCGCGACTTTTTGCTCTTCGTCCCACGATTGTACTCACTTTAAACAAGTAAAATTTCATATTTACTTGATAACAAGTTGAATTTGAGACTATATTTGAGTTCAAAGATCCGAAAGCCTTTTTTTGGACAATGACAGATTACCCTCGAACAGAGCATTATCAAAGGGCTCCACACACCAATTATAACAATCAAGTCTACAATAACTTGGAAAATAGCTATATGCCAACTCAGGAAACAAATTACGACACATCTGAGTTAAATACAGCCCGTGTAAATAATATGAACGGTCACACATCTCACCCGCCAGTCGCAACTTATCAAACAAATGGTCATGGTAATAATCTATGCGTTCACCCGTAAAACAATTTTTTTTTTTTCAGACTATAATTATTTAAATGTCGCGATGTTGTTTATCTGCCACAGGGTTCTCTATGAATTATGGAAATCCTTTATCAGAAATTTCGACATACCAAACTAATAACTTACCGCGAAATGGGCCGAATGGGATTTCGGTGAACACTACTAATCTTCCATTATCCAATATGAGTATAATTAACACAAGTTCCGGAAGAATTATTTGTGTGGCAAATGCCGAAGGTTGGAATTCTATACTATCAAGACAAAACCATATATATTGCACTTTTTTTTTGAAGTAGTCTAAAATTAAAATCATCGTGTAGGTAACATCTCCATAATAAATAAGCTTGCCGACGAAACAGGCGCCACTGCAGTTATCCATACTGGTGATTTTGGATTTTATGGTAAGTCTACTCGCATTTATGTAAAATCTTACACTCATTGAAAGTACACATATGTAAATTATTCCTCTTTATAAATTTTATTTACAGAGAAAGAGAGTTTAGAGCGGATTAGCGATAGGCAAGAATTAATTTTCGTACAACTCTTTTTGTTCATCAACGATCAATAACATTGATATCATTGTTTAGGACTCTGCGTCATATCATAAATTACAATACTTATATATCTCCAAAATTTCGAAATATTTCAAATTCAAAGTCATCAATGGATGAAGTGCGTCGTGCTATTATTGATTCATCTGAGACTATGCTCTCTGAATTTCCATACTTCAGAGATGGAATATTATCTTTCAAAGTTCCTGTATATACCATATGGGGACAATGTGAGGATGTTGTTATCTTAGAAAAGTTTCGAACGGGTGAATACAAGATACCAAATCTTTTTATTTTGGACGAGGCCAATACATATTTAATCGATACTGGAGGAGTGAGCTTGCGATTATTTGGATTAGGAGGGGCAATCGTTCAGCATAAGTTATTTGATAATGGAGATGGTAGGTTGTTATATATTTTATTGGATATTAGATAATCACAAGAACTTATTATCATAAAAAAAAAATTAGGCAAATCAACCATTGCTGGAGGAGGTGGTACAATGTGGACAACCATGCTGCAAGTAGGAGAGTTGGTGGAGACTGCTCAAAAAGTAAGCATATTTAGTTAATTAACCTAATAAAAAGAATATTATTCTAATTTCAAATTATTAGGTTTATGATAAAACAGAAACTAGAGTTCTTGTTACTCTAGCAAGTCCAGGTCTCGTAGGGCTTGTAGCGCAGTTGGCTCTTGTTTTGCGTGTAGGTTAATCTTAATTTGAGCTTAAGTTCGATATATGTCGGAAATTAATTTAGGTTTCATTTTCAGGCCGATTATACTATTTCGTCAGGAATTCATTTCCGTTACTGCATATCGTATAATGAATTTTCCGTTCAGCATGATCATGAACATTTTCGAAAAAGATTAGAAGACTCTCAAAAAAGTTTCTATGAGTTATGGGATACTGTTAAAAATCAAGTGGAAGCTAGTATCGAGTATGTTATCGTGTTTTAATTGGAATATACCCATTTTATTTTGATTAAGATATTTTAACTTTCAGTTTATTAATGTAATTTAATAAATTAATTAGTATATCACAAAGACATTTACTTACTAATGCGATTGCTGTTGTCAATCGTGTTCCTGTGAGTGGACGGGAAGAACCTTCCTACAAGGGCATGTGGCACTTTAACTTACCCGATGCTTCTTGTGGCTGGGTATTGTTGAATATAAAAGACGGAAGAGTTTCAGAGGAGACCAAAGCACTCGGTTATATTCCAGAATTATCTATTTGTTAACATTTTTTGATTGACTAAGAGCTAAATTTGTTATCAATTCAGGTTTCAACTTTGCCTTTCGAAGAAATGGGTCTTACGCACTTACTAGTCCGTCTTCAATAGATGTGCAGGCAAAACGCCAACAAACTCAATGGCAGTCACCCGCCATCCCACCTCAGCCATCGCAAAATGGAACAACGATACAAGCGCTGATGTTGGCCTCACAGAGATCCACGTCTCCCGTAGCTTCACTAGATCTCCATAGTCACTGGAAGCAACCACCATCCTTCAATCGAATGGAACCGCCGTCTCCTACTGAAATTACGTCGTCATCACAAAAAGCAGGAATTTTAGATCATGAGATGGAGCATACACCATCAAAAGTAAACGGGAATGACACTAGTGTTAATGAAACCATAAATGTTATAAGCAACAATAATGAGACCTCAAGTATCACTAGTTCTGATTCTAATAACATTGATGGAAATCAAGAAACTAAGAGTTGGGCCGATCAAACACAAAACGAAGATTTGGGAGAATCTTCGCAATCCCAATTTAATGGTGATAATTCAAATAACAAGGATGGATCTGTTAATAACAATTCGTCAGTTCAACAGAATCGTCAGCAGTATAATAATAATCGCCGTGCCAATGGGGTATGAGCTTACTTTTCTCCGAAAGTGAATTTACTTCTATAAAGCTAAATGTTCTGTTACAAAATACAGAAATTTTCCTATTCGGCATTTTCTGTTCAGGTTGGAAACCTGACAGTACCTGTAAGTGAAGGTGAAATCCAAGATTTTTTCACTTCTGCCGAATGTCAGGTAGATTGTATTTCTTTTTTTTGTTTTTTTTTATTCTTTAACCTAATTCTCGACGTTGAAACCATCGATATATCAATCTATAGGTTGAACGCGTCAAGCTTGTTTTTGACCGAAGTTCAAAAGATCAACTTGATCATTGTTATGTGGATTTCCAAGATGGAACCTCACTTGAGAAAGCAATGCAATTAAACGGACAGGTTTGTTTCTCGGACATTGATTGGACAAAGTTTTTTTTCATTTTTCACATGCTTACGTGTCCATTTCTTAATCAGCCATTTGGAGCAAACCAAAATCCACTAAAGATTCGCAAAGCGGATCCAGAAAACAGATCGAATCGATGGCGCGGGCGTGGACGTGGACGCGGTGGTTATAAACACCGTGGCAACGGTCAACATAATAATACTGGGAGTAATCATGTGCAGAACGGAAGCTCTCAATAAGCAAAAAAAAGAAAAAGAAAGTGAGATATGGTTTTATTATTAAAGAGGAGGTGCAAACATATTTTTTTATTTACTAATTTTTTCGTCCCCGCTTTATATCTAATGTAGAATCCTTTTTATATATATATATATACATATCAAAATATAAATATTTAAACCTATATAACCTATATTCAAGTCAACTTCTTTATAGCACTAAAATTTCTTTCATTATAGTGATGACAATAATTTTATTAATTATAACAAGCTAATATTAGGTTGACTTGTATTTAGTTTCACGATTACGATATGTGGATGTTCATGGTTTTTTCTTTTATTATTATTTATTAGCTCGAGCGCATTATACATGTACATTTGTATTTGAATTTTGGGTTGTATTAATAGTATTTATGTGTTAAAAAGTTGTCGGACTGAGAAAAGTTATTATTCTATACAAAAGAACAGTTCAAGCCTGCATTGAAAATCTGCAGACGAACCTCGGAGATTACATTTTTCCATTGTTACGCCAATCTTTTTTTAGGCGGAGATCATGGCTGATAATGAATTATAAATTCAAAACGGAAAAAGATAAATTTGATCTATAAAAGATGTGATCGTAG